CATTCAGAGAGGTGTCCTCAGTCGAGGCCCAGGCTCCTCTCCCCTGCCCGCCCTTGCCTGTACTTGGAAATGTCACTGTCATCTCAGACCCAGGTCACTGAAAGCCACCTGGTCATCGCCTCCCACAATGTGTCCTCTGTTGGGCTGCTTTGACCCTTGTACTGGAGCCAGAGACTTGGAACCCCAAATATCGTGGGGTCCTCCTCCTGCTCTTGCGGACCCATCTGTCTTTCCCCCACGGTCGCTCTGCCTGTGCACCCCCCCACACACACACACAGACACACACAGGCTAACCTCATTCAGGCTGCTTGTCTCCAGAACTGTTCATGCTCACTGCTCTGGCTGCTGCCACCAGCGCCCTCCCCCCCCCCCCCCCCCCCCTCCCGCAGTTTCTCCCACACTGGCTCTCACAGGTGATCTGGGATTCCCACTGGCTATGGGTTAATTAGGTCCTTGGCCCGCTTCCCAACCGGGCCCTCTTTCAAGCAATGGCCAGGCCTTTCCCTTGAACAAAACAGACACAAAACCACCTTCTGCTTCCCTCCCCTTTCTCAGCGACATTGAAAAAGATGATCCCCAAATAGTTGTGGGACGCTCTCATTCGGAACCACCCACTCACGGGTTCCCCAACCAGCAAAATGAGAGCAATAGATCCTCTCCCTTAGATTATAAAGATTCAAGTGAGAAAAAGTGGTTTAGAGAAACCGCAGCACTCCGGCACCCTGAGCGGATGCAGCCCATAATGCTGTCTTCCCCTAGGGTGGGCATGACCCATTACCCATTTCCCCTCTACCTTAATACCCGTAGATATGAAGGGCAGCACACTCAATGTGGAGAATATAAACAGTCTTAATACAGCATCTGCTGTTGGGGCGCCTGGGGGCTCTGTCATTTAAACGTCTGATTTCAGCTCAGGTCATGGAGCCAGGGTCCTGGGATTGAGTCCTGCTTCTGACTCCCTGCTCAGCAGGGAGTCTGCCTCTCCATCTCCCTCTGCCCCTCCCCCGCTCGTGCGCTTGCTCTCTCTCTCTCTCTCTCTCTCTCTCTCCCTCTTTCAAATAATTAAATGAAATCTTTAAAAAAAATTAAAGCATCTGCTGCCTTCCAGAGATGTTAAATGAAGTTGAAGACATGGGGCACCAGGATTGCCATCTGGGGAGGTTGCCAGCAGTGGGGGCAGGTATGTGTGTCCGGTGTCTTGGGCTGGCATAGAGCGGCTTTCTCCCCGTGAGGTCTCTGTGCTTACGGACCCACACTGCTTCTGAAGTGGGGCTTTGACTCCATCCACACCCCAGGCACCATTTCTGGTGTGGACGGAAATTTCTCACGTGCACTCTTCAAAATAATTATTCTGTGAAAAATAAAAATGCAATGTCACAAATTTATCAACATATGTATTTATAATCTGTCCATTGCTTTCATCAAATGATACAGAAATTGCAATGGAAACGCTGTGTGATTTTGCTGCTAAGGAGGCTCTGTTCTGGAGAAATGTTGCGATCCAATGGCATAACCAGCTCTCGGGTGATGCACGTTCCATGGGTCTGTTCTGGGTCTAGGATGCTTGGTAAGCCTCCCATGTGCTTCCTGAGTGCAGCCAGGAGGGGGCACTGCTCTCAGCCTGGTGTCCTCAGGCCCAGAGCATCTAGAGGCTTCTCAGAAGTGCTTTTGAGCTGTGTTTTCAAGAGAGCAAAGCGTACCAGGCAGGGTGTACGATGTGGGAGAGGCAAGAGGGTGTGATTGTGGGTTTTCCAGGAACAGGGAATGTTAGACCCATTGCCAGGTGAGTGGGGGAGGAGCGAGGGCGGGTTCATGATGGAGGGTCAAAGGAGTCCCCTGACTTTCAGGCTGTGCCGTTGCTTTGGGTATTAGCCGCAGCCCTGCAGGGGACAGGTGTGTGATGGCATTGAGTCACTGACTCCAAAACGAGGCACACACCCAGTTTTTGCTATGAAGGAATTCAGGGCCTTACTGGATCTTACCGGAGCCAGAAATTCATGTCGTTTTGTGAAATGTTCCAGTTTTTTCTGAGTTTGCTAGCTTCAGTGTGCACGCACAGGCAGGCCTGCACGCGAGCACACATGCACAGGCTTGCATAAACACACGCGCATGCTTGCACACGTGCGGGCCTACACATGCACAGATACACCTGTTCACATACACGTGTGCGTGCATGCATGCATCTGTGCACACACGCACCTGTGCAGGGATGCACACACATGCACACGTGTGCACACACGCACGTAACACTGTGCTGAACAGAAAGCTTCACCGGATGTCCCGGCAGCCTGAGGGGCTGTAGGTCCTGCGTGGGGGTGGGGTCAGGGTGCACCGCGCAGAGTCAGGTGTGAGAAGACGCATGGCCCCCGTGGTCGGAGCTCATCTCCTGCATGTGGAGTGAGGGCATCCTGGGAGGCAGCAGGATCCACTGGCCAAGGCTGGACGGTAGGAGGACGCATGTGTGCAGGTGTCCGTGATGAGAGCTGTGCTGGGAGCTGGGGAGATTGTTCATGTGGGGAACACTGGGGGGGCTGGTGATTCCTTCTTCCTCTCTCCCACTTCCGCTCCTGTGGTGGGGCTGGCCGATAGAATAAATGCTAGAATAAATGCATCAGGAGCTGCTTCCTGCTCGACTCAGGAGTTCAAGCCAGGTTTATTAGTATCCAGAAATAAACAGAGAGCATCCTGAGCAAATGTATTCACTTCCCCAACATGTTAAAAAATAAACACTTCTTTTCCCACAACGAGTGCACCTTTGGGAGGTAATGTGAACAGCAGATGGGCTTCTGGGAACCTGAGCATCTAGCCCTAGACCCAGGGTTGACTAGTGAAGGACTCTGTAACCTACTTCTCCATGTCCCGACTTCCCCATCCGTAGAATGGGGTGGCATCCGTTCTTCATAACAGGCTGGAGAATGCAGCACTAGAAATCATTTGGGTTTATTGCTAGCTCTGCCGTTTTCTAGTCTTATCAAGATGTGTCCACACTCCTCTCCTATGAAGCAGGAATAACTGTAGTACCTCCTCAGTGTGTCATCGGGAGGGTCAATGAATTGGTAACATACAGCCCTCCCCTCCCCATGCAATATGCTGACTACTTCACTTTCATTTCTGCAAGTTAAAAATGAAGGAAGTATGTAAGGGATAAGAGGAAGGCACAAATGTTAACGATTATGACACCAATGTAAGGTTTTCACCAAGAAAAAAAAAAAGGGAATTAATCTAGGTCTACATAGCCCAGTAGAGGAGGAGACTGGAATGTCATTCCGATCTGAGTCTTTACATTAACCAGTGACATGAATGGCAGGAGCTCGTGGCCTGCTCTGAATCCCATTTGCTATTCCCCCCTCAATTTTAAGTGACCTCTTTCATTTTACAAGTAATGCATTTATAGGTGATATTATAGAAAAATTAGGAAGTGCATAGAAGTGAAAATAGCAAAATGTGGTATGACACGTATCCTGGAGATTCTTGTGTGCATCTTTCTAGACTATGATCTATGACTACAATGCATAATTCTCTTAAAAATGGAATTTTCTAAAATAGTATTTGTTTTCTAAAAAAAGAAAAATCTGAATCAAGTACTTCAGTACATCAAATCCTGTACTTTTAAAGTGTATTTAACTAGTACTAGCATAACATTGTTTTGAAGTACCATAGTTTATTGAAATGGTCTCTTACTGACGTGCAGTTCGATTATTTTATGTTTGTTTGCCATTGTAAATTATGCGGTACTGAGCACCTTTGAACTTCCCATGGGGAAATAATTGGGGAGTTATTTCTTTGCGACCAGTTTCTAGAAATGGAATTACCGTGCTTGATACCTTGGGCCAGTGTGCCCCCAAGAAGATTGCTCTGCAGGAGAGTTTAAGCTCGTTAGCTCTTTGTGGCAGGAGGTGGGAGGGCGAAGCGGGCAGGAGCGGCCCCTGGGAGTCAGGCACGTCCACTCTCCATCACTGCTCCGACACCAATAACCATGGGCCTTCAGGGGAGCTACAGATCTCTTGGACGTGCAATTTTCTCAGCTGCCAAATCATTTGAGTGAGGTGAACGTCCTAAGGTTATTATTAGCAGAGGCCCTGGCTCTGAGTAAATACTAGCTATTATGCAATACCTATGGTCTCTGTAAGATGAGGCCCTTACGCACACATAAGCGTCTCTGTATGTGCATATATACACACATACGTGAAGACAGAGACATACTTGTATATAAAATAAAATACCTGTATCAAGTAAGGTCCTTTGCCGCCCTGAATGATCTGGAGGAGACCAAGTGGGTGACTAGTGGGTGACTGGTTCCCAGGTGTTTACAAATCTCCTGCAAAGTGAACTGAGAACTCAAAGCATAGCCGGGAATAAGGCGACGATCCCATCGCTCGTGTCTCTCGCTGCCCAGCTGCCGCCTACATGCAGGGGGGCCTGGGGGAGGGTGTTGGTCAGATGGGCTTTCTGGGTAATTTAGTGCACCCCGATGCTGTCCTAACAACCCCAACATCGTGGGTCTGTGGATTCCAGGTCTGCAGCTGGTCATGGTCCTGGATCCAGCTGGGACAGGGAGCCAGGTCGAGTGAGGCAGACCGCTGGGGGAGTCCACGTTAATTTGGTGTGATTTTTTTTTTTTAACCCACTCAGTGGCTCAGAAAGGGCTGGTGCACGCAAACTCTGCTACACCAGCCCACTCCTCGATCTGTACAGGTTGTGACCGTGCCACTGCCTGGGGGGAATCCATTTCTCAGCTGATCCTTTCCTCTCCAGCACGCTTCACCTGTTTTTCTTAGTTGTCCCCTTTCTGTTAGTGTTGAAGAGTGTGCCGATGCGTCGATTTTAAAAGGGGTTGTATACCTCAGAAGGCTGTTCTGAGGAGGGAGAAATGGTTTAAAAAAATGGCTTGTCACGAGGGAAAGTCCTGGAAAGCTGCTGGACGCTCAGAGGTGATGGCGTTAAGGTCATAGTTGGAAGCTGTTGTCTCATCCAGTCCTTCTGTGCTGTCACTGTTGAAGGAGGAAGATGAAGGCTCGCGCCCCCCCTCCTCCTGGAAAGCCCACCACGGCGAATGTGCACAGCGAACAGAAGCCTCCCCGGGACGTGTCCCCCAGCCCGCCGCAGAACCTGCTGCACGTGAAGGAGAACTTGAGGAACAGCATGGTGGCGGTCACCGTGGTTCTGCCCAGCGGGCTGGAGAAGAAGAGTGTGGTCAGTGGCAGGTAAGGGTGCGGGCACCTTGCGGAGAGCTCACTGCCGTCCAGTCTCAGGTCCAGGGAGAACTGAAAAGTGGACTGTGCGGGGTTGTGCTCACTCCCCCGTCAGGCAGACCTGGGACCCTGGGATACGGAGCTGGGTCCAGAGTGGCTTACCTGGATGACCGTTGGCTACGCCGCCCCTCCTCGACTCACCATAATCCCAAGGGAGCGAGGACTGCGCAGCTTAGTCCTGCTGGAGGGTGAGCTGGGGGGAAGGAGCAGGGGTCACAGGTCCATACGCATCTCCAAGTAGGTGGCCAGCCCCCGGGGGTTTGCGCCAGCCTCCTTGGCATGAAGTGATGCAGCTGGGGAAGCCTCCCGATGTGACCCTGCCCCTGTCCGCTGACAGGCTGGCCCACAGAGGTGTAGACGCAGTCAGAGGTCAGTTTTCCAAATGCAGCTTCCACAGCACGTCTGCACTGACGGCTGAGCTCCAGCCCAACCAGTTTCCAGCCCTGAGATGCCCACTGGATTCCCTTCTCAACCTGACCCACCCGGGAACGTGCCTGAGGTCAAGGTCACATACCCCTTCCTCTTCCCACATCAGCCGCCCTGGAAACATTGGCAAAGCCTCCTGTGATCATAGTATTAAGAACTTTATTACCAATAGAATTTCTGATTTCAAGATACGTCATCATGTTGTTTGATCGGTTTTGTGCTACAGCTGTTGTTCCTGATACTTCTATCTGTAAGAACACATTTTCACAGATTCACAGGAAACGAAAAAATTAAATCTCAGCATTTATATAGTTTTTAGGATAGAGTATGATGGAGTGATCAACTGTGGAAACTTGGCAGCGTAAAAATATAGTTTGTCTAATTCTGAGGCAGGAGCGAATAGAGGTCGTATATCTTAGAAAATAAGAATAAGTTATGATCAGATGTATTTCACTCTTTTTTTTTAAAAGATGTTATTTATTTGTTTAACAGAGAGAGAGAACACAAGCAGGGGGTACTTTAGAGGGGAAGAAGCAGGCTTCCTGCCGAGCAGGGAGCCCGATATGGGGCTCGATCCCAGGACCCTGGGATCAGGACCTGAGCTGAAGGCAGATGCTTAACGACTGAGCCACCCAGGCGCCCCAGGTGTATTTCACTCTTAAAAAGCAGTTTGCTCCAATATTTTTAAAAATGGATAAAGGTGGAAATCACATCACCGTCATGCTTTTATTTTATTTTGGTGGTTGTGATGAGGAGAACAATGGAAGGCTTTTTTTTTTTTTATTTTCAACAGTTTTATTTAATAAAAATCTTACATAATACTTACAGTGTTCCAGATACATTATAGTACTGACTCTCTGAAGCCCCTATGAGCTTATACTCATTTTATAGATGAGGAAAGCGAGCCCTTCAGAGGTTAAAGAACTTGTCAAAGTTCTCTGTCTTGGTAAGAAGCAGGGCCAGATTCTACCCTGGTAGGATGGCTGCAGGGTTTATACTTTCGTAACCACCATTCTATGAAGCTTTTTTTTTTTTTTTTTCCCAAGCATAACAGTATTCCTTGTTTTTGCACCACACCCAGTGCTCCATGCAATCTGTGCCCTCTCCAATACCCACCACCTGGTTCCCCCAACCTCTCACCCCCCGCCGCTTCATTTAAAAATATCAGGATTTGAATTCTCCCTGAAATGTTATGCTATTTAAACTTTGTCATGAAGTTTCACGGTGGCAACTTGATGTTCAAAGAGGTATGTATGTCTTACAAATCTCTCCACGGGCTACGCAAACCTGTGGCAGATGCTTGCTGCCAGCCTCAGTACATAGCTGGGGTCAGGGCTGGTTGTCGGGTACAGCATCTCCTCCCACACTAGGTGATGCTGGCCCGTTTCCCAGGGTGGAACCACCCACCTGCCCAGTGTGGGGCTTTCCCCTCAGGAGCCCCTTCTGTAGCCGGGGTCCCAGCTGCAGGGCACTGGTGGAAGCAGCTGAAGTTGGTCTATGCTATATCCACGAGGGCCGGCCCCCCGCCTGCAGCCTTGCGGCCCCCAGAAGCCAGTGGCTCTGGCAGTTTCTATAGGCAAAGCTTCCAGGGTTTGCGAAATGCAAGTGACAGAGAGTTTCTGGTCTCTTTGCTTCACAGAGTGGTCCTTGTCCTAAGGATGCTTTTCCCACCGAACCTTACCTTGAAAATCATGCCATGTTTCTATAGGCTGGCAAACTAAGAGGTCCATGAAGTTTGACCAGTGACTGTTTAGTCAACATTCCTATATTTTCAACCCAATTTTTTCAAAGATTTTATTTATTTTTTTTGAGAGAGTATGTGCACGAGCCGAGGGAGGGGCAGAGGCAGAGGGAGAAGCAGGCTCCCCGCTGAGCTGGGAGCCCGATGTGGGGCTCGATCCCAGGACCCTGGGATCATGACCTGAGCTGAAGGCAGAGGCTTAACCCACTGAGCCCCCAGGCACCCCCAACCCAATTTTTAATTAAACTGAAAAATGCTGTTTTATTGAGATATGATTAGTACATGTTAAGTGCGTCCTTCCTGACTAGTCTATAGCTCAGTGCACACCTGTGAAACCACTGTCACTATCAGACTAGTTACATATTTTGTAAAGAAATGGCCTTGTGGGTCCCATCTCGATGCGCTCATACCTGGGCCCAGTTCTCCAAACGCATGCAGAGATAGAATGCTTTCCTGACAAGTACGACAATTACCCTGAAAACCATTTCCAAACGGAACACTTTCTTACATTCCATCTTTTTAATTTTCCTTTTTTCTTTACAAAGTAGAAGCTACCACTCTGTAAGGTGACCATGTAGTAATGAGAAAACGTGCAGCTTCTTAAAGATCCAGCATTGAAACACTTTCCTCTTCTCCAGCAGTAAATTCTAATCCCTCCTCCCAGGCTTCCTGCAGGGTTAAGTGAGTCAGAGCTGCTGCCCCGGAGCTGCCTTCACTGGGACGTTGGCGTCGTGGCTGGTGCTGATTCAGCAGCCGCTTGCTGAGGGATTTGGTTTCATGTGTCATACTCTTTAATAATACCAGAGCCAGCTGAAGTCCAGTCCCCGACCCTTGCTTAAAATAGATCTGCTAATTGCTAATCAATGTAGTTTATCTCTTCTGTTTTATTAGAGAACGTGCCCAGCTTTTTATGAGACAAGCAAGCGTCTGATCATTTATAATCAGCCCCTTACCCGTGCTTTTTCCTTATATGAAACATTCTCCGAGAGGAAACGTTAGTAATCGCCGTCTGAGGATTGCATTCTGCATAGGACTGATTTTTTTTTTTCTTTTTTAAAGTGTCCTTGGGATTTGGAAACTTATAAGTTCCAGTCTGTTCTTACAGAGATTAGGACCTGAGAATCTGCGTTTTGGGCCTTTTTTTTTTTTAAGATTCATTTATTTACCTTAGAGAGAGAGGGAGAGTGCAACAGGTAAGTACAGAGGGAATGAGAGAAACTCAAGCCAACTCCCCACTGAGCACAGAGCACAGAGCCCAGCGCAGAGCTCGACCTCACGAGCCTGAGATCACCATCTAGCCAAAATCAGGAGTCCGATTGAGCCCCCCAAGGGGCCCCCATATTCTGGGCCGTTCTTAAGGGAAGTGCTCTGGCATAGGATTAGGAATGGCGTTACCAGCGCCACATGGGAATGGTCGAATGAGGCCACCAACTCCATCACATGGGTTGAGACACACTTAAAGAGAAGGTCTTTGAAAAGACAATGCCCTTAGGCAAAAGAGAGCTTCATAAAGTGTGTCAGTCTCTAGAGTGTTGGGGCTGTGTCTTTTGCTGTGATAAAGTAGTCAGGTCCAAGTTGGTATGCATGCCCAAGGGGCTGGGGCAGGAAAAGGCAAACATTTCCTTTGCAGAATACAGGAAATCTCCCTCGGTATTCATTCTTGTGATTCTTCATGACAGACACGCTTAGGACAGTGCAGGAGTTTTTAGGTCCTGGAGCTTATCAGATAGCCCAGGCTCTCATAATGTGGGTGTTGGATCTGCAGGTTCCTTCTGAAGAGAGCTCTCTGGCTCCACGCTGGAAGGGAGGAAGGCTGTGAGCCCCTGGCAGCTCTATCCTTCATCCGCCCTCCCCTTCCAGGTGTCGGCGAAGCTTATTGAAGCTCCCAGAGCCGAAGGGAGCCTGGTCTTCTCTGGTACTCAGCGAGTTAAGGAGGTGATGTTAAACAAGACATTTCTGGTGCTGGGGAGTTGGCCAGGAGAAGACTGTTCTGGAAATAACTGGCTGACAAGTTGCTTTGGTTTCGTTTGATTTACATTTTTGTTTGAAGAATATCTTTTTTTAGAAGAGCTCATTTTTTTTTAGAACATTCTTAGTTTCCTAGCAAAAATGAGAGGAAAGTACAGAGACTTCCCACATACCTTCCTCCCAACCCACAATCTCCCCCATTATCAGCATCCCCCAGCGGAGGATGTGTGTGTCAGTGTGTGTAAGGTGCCCCTTACAATCAGTGAACCTGCACAGACATATCGTCATCCCCCAGAGTCTGTCGGTGACACCAGGATCCACTCAAAATGTTGTGTGTGCTTTGGGTTTGGACACACATAGAAGGATATGTGTCCACCACGGTAGTTCCTCAGAGAGGAGTTTCACTGCCCTGAAGTCCTCTCAGAGAACATTCCAGGACACACAGCCCGCTGTGGTCACTGCCGCTAGAAGTGGGTCTCATTGGATCCCCTTCCCATCAGCCCCGGGAACGTGTTTGACCATCCGGGTCTTAGCTCGCTGCTTCTAGGAACTGCCTCCCTGAAATGATTCTGCCCTATGAAGGCTTCGTTTGCTTGCTTGTTTGGGCAAAACCCAAGAACAAAGACAATGATAGAATGTCTGTCACGTGCAGACTGTGATCATCAGACTCCAGGTGCTACTGGATTTTCTTCCTGATCATCTGTGCTGTGAGCAAATCACATGGTGATGGGGCGACCACAGGTTATAAACTGTGCGCTGCTCCTGTGAAAAGCTGTGTTCTTTGCTAAACGCACTATGTAATAGCTCACAGCAGGTG